AGTAGTTAATATTTCTATTAAAGAGTGCTTTAGAAATACAACAGCAACTAAAAACTAACGATACAATGTTCTGACATTTTAGCGGCCTCTTGATGCAAATTATCAAGGAATGAATAAAAGAGCGAGTTCAGAAGAGTTAAGACCTGTAGATTTGCATAAATGAAGTTAAGTTAAATATTAGATACTTAAGTGTAGATCGGATCTGTTTGCACATTTAAACATTGTCTTAATTGTTTGATGTACAGCATTTCGTTAATTTAACAGTCAAATTTTTTCCTGCATTTTTTCAACATTTTGAAGCAACTAAGGAGGTCCTCAGGGACTGCACCCGCGTGGTCTTTATCGTAATGTTAACATAAATTTGTTGGTCATACTTCTGGACATCTGCATGCACATGTGATTGGCCATAACAGCATGTCTTCTTCTGTGCATAAACAGTATGATAAAGACCACGTGGGCATGAGGTCGTCAGGTTGCCAAAAGGTCGAACATTGTATTGTTAGTTCTTACTTGCCTGTGTATAAATGTTTATATTGTTTTTTTATTATTATTATTCTTTGCTTAACTTATTTTAATCTGTTTCTTGTTGTTACTTACAACTTAAAATGAGGTCAACATTGCAAAAGAAACAAAATTAAATTACGTAGCTCAAGAAGCCTCTGTTTTAGGAGTACGTGGATGAATATTTTCTGTAACAACACATAACTGGTTTAATTGAAATGTACGTAATAACTTGATCCACAGGATTATAACAGTGGAAGATCTAAAAGATTCGGATTTGTTGAATTTGAATCGCCTGAGTCCCACAAGAGGGCACTAGAACAGCAGCACATTATAAATGGAGCAAAGGTGCGAACAATTCAAAGCTAAGAACATACTGCCACATCATACTGTATATGCAAGTAATGCAATGCTTTCTCAAGGAATACTAACAATTATTCCACGAGTGCACATTGGATATGGGATGGTAGATAGCCAACGAGGCATGTTGCACCAAGTTGGTTACAATCATCTCAATGATATCCAACGAGCATGAGTGGAATAATTAATTATAGAAAAATAGAGTTAAAAATGCCCCTAAAATGCAGCAGACTTAACTAAAAAAAAATAAGATGCCCCAAAAAATCTCACTCGTTTGCTTACCATATTCGTAGAGCATGGTATAATGGCTCATAACCCATGATGGCTCAGCCTGTAAAAACTCCAGTGATCCAATTTTTAATAACATGGAATATTCCATGAGTCAGTTGTATTTTCTCGGTAAAAGGTTTGTGCGTATGCCGAGAAAATACAAGTGACATGAGAGATATTCCATGGTACAGGTGTACCACTTGAAAGCATTACATAACTATTAAATAAATTGTATTTTATATGTACCATGCCAGCATAGAAAATACAGTGACCAACATAACCAATGCACCATGCATGCAGTGCATGGTGGGAAGGCTAGGTGTAATACTGTTGAGTGTAGAAGTGATTTTCTAGTGTGTTCTAAATATTGTATGAATTTCCACTTGCATGGTATGAATTATTTTCTATTGTAGCTGGAGTTTAGTTGAATCTAACATGTGCTCTCATTGGTTGATTTACGGCCACATGAAAATAGCTAAATCTAAATGCCTTCTGGCAGGCAACTATTGAGCAATAATTTGTTGCCCGCTCTCCCACTAACCATAGGTTACTTTTACTACTTCTTGCCTTATTACCTAGCACTAAACTCCAGCTATAAAGTAAAACACTTAATCCTATCTATAACAAAATTCTCAATCATGATTGGTTCTCTGCACGCCTATTTGTCACGTAATCGGTGCGCGATTACATGGGTGTCCAATTACAGGTGTCTAATGTGAACAATTTGTAATTGGATACCTGTAATTGGATACCTACGTGATTCGCACATCAATTACGTACGCTTTTATGGCTTCCTTCGCAATGTTTCGTCCAGTTTTCAAAACTTAGGATAAGCGCTACAGACGTTTACGCTCCAAAGAAGTTCTCATACATGTACAACATTTTTAATTAGGAAATTTGTTATAGATACGATTAATTAGTAACTGGATCTCGTGTTGGACAATTCAAAGAATAATCGCGCTCGTCCGATTTTAAAATTACTTGCGCGATTTCTTCCTGAATTGTACTCCACTTGCTCCAATTACTATTACTAATTAGTGGTCCCTTGGGAAACAGTTACGTTCGTTTTCCGTTGAATCTTGATGTTCCCCGAGACGAAGTCGAGAGATGCATGTACATCAAGATTCAAAAGAAAGCAAAACCGGCTGTTTTCCTCAGGACCAGTAGTTAAGTTTATAATATACCCTACTGATTATTTCCACTTCATAGCAAGTATAGACTGCAAGCAATCTCTCTCTTCCTCGAAAATCCGTGGGAAGAACGCAAAACAAGTAAACGTGCGAGCGTTGCTGTGGGCGTGACGTGCGAGCGGCGATGCCGCAAGTCGCCAGTCGCACGTCACGCTCACAGTCACGCTCGCACGCTTACTTTTGCATTCTTCCCCACGGATTTTCGAGAAAAAGATAGACTGCTCGGAAGTCAGAAGCGTATCACCTAGTCTAGGTGATATGCTTCTGTCGCAGTCTATAGCAAGTAACTTGCAACTGTGCATTGGAATTAACCATCTGGCTGATGCCCAAAGTGACCAGGAGTATAAACTTTATTCATAAACAACCATGCTACAGATTTTTGTTTGGTTTTGAAAGAAATTTTTGCTTCATTGTCTCATTACCAGTAACTGCAAAGTATAATATTATAATTATGATAAATTTTTTCCTGTTGCACAAATTAGTGACTAATGGATCCAAGGTTATGACTTCAAATATAAGACTTTGGGAAATTACAGCCTAACCTTACACACCTTGCTTTCATGAATGTTTTGCCAAAACTGCAGTGATTATAACTTCTAAAAAGCAGAAATTATTTGACCTTAAAATTACATTTACTAAGTTGTCTTGAACGGATTAACGAATGTCTTGCCAAAACTGAAATGATTATAACTTCTCAAGAGTAGAAATTACAATATATGACCTTAAAACTACATTTAATAAGTTGTCTTGAGCAGATGAACGAATGTCTTGCCAAAAATGAAATCATTATATCTTCTCAAGAGCGGAAATTGTATGGCCTGAAAACTACATGTAGTAAGTTCTTGAACAAATGAAATAACGAACGAAATAGTTCTAGCTATATAACAAAATTAATACCATGCCATAGAAAATTCATACCATCGGAACACAAGAAAGGCATTGGTAATTACCTAATTAATTATTGATTAATTAATTAATTAATTAATTAATTAATTAATCACCTAATTAATTAATTAATTTTATGTACCCACGATACACAGAGGAGTTCGAGACTCGGTTAAAAGTGAACGTGCCAAAACAAGAAAGAAAGATTCGTCACTGGAAGTTTCCTAAATTTCTAAGTAACATTCTTTATCGAATGGAATGCACGGGTGTTTGTCTGAGCAACTACTTAATGGAAACATTTACTATAGGTTTTATAAGTTATGGATAGTGTATGAGCATTTGACTAACGATCATGAACGGTCGTGAACCATCCAACATAAATCTCGGCATCTTTTTTTGCTCTTTTGAGGTTTACTGGGCTTTAAGGATATATATTATAAGAATATCGAAGCCGAAATTTGCGAAATTTCAAGAATATTTTAACATTAAGCCTGAGGTTTTGATTTCTCAAGAATATAATTTCGTGAGTTGAAAATTTGTAAACACAATAAAATCGTATCATGTGTCAAATAAGGCTTGATTCCCTTCAGTCTGGGTTACAAGATTACTTCAACGCCATCAAAGATGTCACACGCTATAATGTAAGAATATTCACTAGAATATTTTCAATCTAAAATCGGCAGAAAAATGAAGAATATTCAGTCTGGGCCGGAAATAAAAACAATATAACAACGTTCAAACTTTTCAAATAATACACTTTATTATTATCGAAAGCGTTTTGTACTGTATCCCTTTCAAATGAATTTTTTGTTTCCGACACAGAAAATGTTTACGACCATTTTAGTCNATTAATTAATTAATTAATCACCTAATTAATTAATTAATTAATTTTATGTACCCACGATACACTGAGGAGTTCGAGACTCGGTTGAAAGTTAACGTGCCAAAACAAGACAGAAAGATTCGTCACTGGAAATTTCCTAAATTTTGTACGTAAGATTTTTTATCGAATGGAATGCACGGGTATGTCTGAGCAACTACTTAACGGAAACATTTACTATAGGTTTTATAAGTTATGGATAGTGTATGAGCATTTGACATACGATCATGAACGGTCGTGAACCATCCAACATGAATCTCGGCCTCTTTTAAGGGTTACTGGGCTTTAAGGATATATATTATAAGAATGTCGAAGCCGAAATTTGCGAAATTTGAAGAATATTTTAACATTAAACCTGAGGCTTTCATTTCTCAAGAATATAATTTCGTGAGTTGAAAATTTGTAAACACAATAAAATCATATCATGTGTCAAATAAGGCTTGATTCCCTGCAGTCTGGGTTACAACATTACTTCAACGCCATCAAAGATGTCACACGCTATAATGTAAGAATATTCACTCGAATATTTTCAATCTAAAATCGGCAGAAAAATGAAGAATATTCAGTCTGGGCCGGAAATAAAAACAATGTAACAACGTTCAAACTTTTCAAATAATACACTTTATTATTATCGAAAGCGTTTTGTACTGTATCCCTTTCAAATGAATTTTTGCTTTCCGACACAGAAAATGTTTACGACCATTTTAGTCGACAACTTACGGACACGACGGCGACAGGTCACCGACGGATTTCCGACAGTCAGCCAACTGGACGAATAGCCAACTGTCGGACAACTGTCGTCCAGTTTAGTCTGAAAAAAATCAGGATAACGGTTGATCGGCTGTTGGCCGGCAAACCGCTATCATTCGACTGAGAAACGACGGACAATGTCTTTTGGCAGCTGTTCTCCATTTTGCCGAGATGTCAACTACGTAATAGTGGTAGTAGACTTGATGATCTAAATTCTCACCACATTCCTGCTTGTTAATATTCTTGTTTAGAAAGCAGAAAGTAGCTAGCTGTTGATCGATCTTGTGAATGAAAGATCTACATTGGCACTTTCTCGTCTGCCAGTCTCCAAGTTAAGTTTTGTGTTTTGTTCCCTTCTGCAGGTTTTTGTTCAATCAAGGCAGAGTGAGGAAAAGAACCCACGCGGCCGACGACACGAAGATTTTACTGAAGTGTGACAAGTTACTTTTTTTCGCCGTGTGCAGCATTTCTTGTTTTTTTGTTGTTGTTGTTCTGTAACAACCGAGGATCCTTCAACTGCTCAGAAGCCTTTAACAAGAACAATTAAAACCTTATATTAAGCCGTGTTTGAAATCATTTTGGCCCGCGTCAATCACAAGAAGTGTTGGCGACTATTCTGCGGGTACATAAAGGGGCTCTGATTTATTCAGTGAACATTTCGTTGGCTCGATAGACTGTACCTACTTGTAACTAAACTACTGCTGACACTGCACAGGCCCAGCTCAGTGAGGGTTTTATGGAAATTGCTTGCGTTTAAACTAAGAATAGAAACCAGCTTTATACAATCTAAGAAGCGGAAAAATCAAATAATATGCGGCCAACAAAAGATTGTTTGATAAGTCTCTTTATTGAAAGCTTGCACCAAACTTGTTTTAGTAGCATTTCACACGCAAAACATAAGCTATGGAAGCATTCATTTCCTCTTTATAAGGATGCAAAGTCTAGCCTTGCGGTTAGAACAGTGACTTAAAGGAGCTCGTCACGGTATTTTGAGTTACTTTGGCCGCGTACAAAATTACCTGTAATTTAAAGGAAACCCAAAAATAATAGTTTACTAAGATAGAAAAACACCAAAGAGAGATAACATTAAACCATAAAGAAACAAGGATGGTTAAGGATGGACAAGATTGACTCGGATTACAAACGACGAACTCGTCGTTTGTAATCCGGGTCAATCTTGTCCATCCTTAACCATCCTTGTTGCCTAATGGTTTATTATTATCTCCTTGGTGTTTTTCTATCCTAGTAAACTACTATTTTCAGGCTTCCTTTAATTAGTTTAGAATGCCTTAAAACCTCACGTATGCCTCAGTATTCAAACATGAACACGTTTCATACTTAGCATGAGTCTCGTGTTCCAGTCGCACGCTTCGGAACACTAGCGTGTTGTCTGACTGAACTACGCGGCAGCGTATATTACCTGCATAAAATCCGTTCTTGACGACGCGAGACATCTTTGGCTGTGAAAAATGTGACATAACTTTCGTATTCATAGCGTGCGATTCTCGAAAATTAGAGCATACTTGACGTGTTCATTAGTATTCGAAGACGTTCAGGTCAGAAGTGGCGTCGTGCATCTCTTGTTCCAGTCGCAAACTCTCGAACAACTGAGAGTATTCGAAAATGTTCGAGTCATAAATGATTGCTATATCTTCGAAGAACATCTAATGCAACATTAATCTACCAAAACGTGGCCCGTATGATTTATCGAACACTTCGAGTCATTCAAGAGTATTAAATTTGAATACGGAAAAACAGGCCGGATTCCTATAGAATATTCCAGGTGTATTTCGAGTCAGCCGTAATCGAATACGTCAGAACATTGCGGCATACGCGGCGTGCGCCGATCCGTATTGGAGCGAATTCGGGCCCGAATATTTGGCTTTTCGCGCAGTGGAACTTGAAACATTTAGGCTAAACTGTTTAAGATGCGTAAACCTTGACGTAGCTCCTTTAAGTAGTTCTGTCTAGCCTCAAAGAACTAATGTTTTTTTGCGTTTGTTGTTCTCTGTAATAGCTTTGGCATTTTTGCTTTTTTCGTGAATGACCAAGTACTAGCATGAGATAAAGAATTAATCTGTCAGTGGAAAGGAGACCATCCTCAACTCGTCCTCGTCTTCAACAATTTTGTAGCCGAGTAGATTCATGACTTCGTAGCATTCAGTTTCGATCAAGCGTACAATTGAGTAAGGCACCTGGGTACGCCACGTTTGAACAGAATCAGTCAGATTCTCCGCGCTGTAAGTATACTGACGATAAATGGAGTTTGCAAAAGAAGGGGAGACAAATCCTTCGTGCAGAGTGCGGTCAATCCACACTCGAACGTTTTGTGCGATGCTGATTCCTACAAACTGGTACAGTTGCTCGGCGATCTGATGCGGATTGGTCGCCAAGTCTTCGTATCTTAGCAACGTGTAACGCCCACGCAGCCAAGCCGGTGCGCTGACCGCGTACTTGATGTTGCGCAGCATATCACGGCATAACGATTGCGCGTGATCACGCACCGATTTTACCGTCCAGTTTTCATGGGAATCGTGCAGAACGCGCGTGTTTAAAACCGCGCGTGGGTCTCGCACTAAATGAACTACTTTGAGTGAGTAGTCCGCGGGGCCCTCGTTGTCCATGAGATAAGATAGTTTATGAATAGATTTCACGCGAATTGTTTTGACTACCGTGTGTTTGTGTAACCGGCAAATCGCCGAGGCTGATTGTGGCCTTAGTGGCGTACATTTACGAATGCTATAATGCGGAGTGTTGTAGTTCTCAGGGCATAAAGGCGGTGAAGACAGAGCCCGGCTTGAGAGGCGATGTCGCAGCGAGCTGTACTGAAACGATAAAAAATCCGTGTAATACGAAAGCTCCATGAAGTTGCAATGAAAGATGCCGTTTAACAGATGGGTTACCATCGTGTCGTAAACGCTCTCGGGACGATTGTCTCGATAGTAATCCAGAGATTGTAAAGGTTCGTAAAGATAAAACACTTGAAGATGTTGATTTAGTAGTTCTCCGAGAAAAGCGCTCCCAGACGCAGTATCCGAAATAATGAGGATGTTTTGTCGCATTTTACTGCCATATTTACTAGCTAACGAATCAAGTTCCATAAATTTGTTCAGTCTCTCGTACATCTCTAGCTTTTTCCGTAATGAGGTGATTTCGTCGTGCAATTTGGAACAATTTTTGTCTTGTTTAACATTAGTTTCCGAGTTGTTTGTGTCCCTGGTGAAATCTTGATCTCCGCATTCATCAGAAATGTACGTTTTTAACTCGTCCGTGGTCGCCGAACTTTGAAGCTGCCGGTTTCGTAGACACATTGCTTCCAAATTGTCGTTTCTTGTGAAAATAAAGATGGCGCACATGACGAAAAAAACGACCAGCCAAATAGGAGGGGGAATCACTCTTCTTGGCAAAATATTTTGAAGAGAACGAAACATTCTCTTAAAATCCCGCAATCTGGTTTCGAAAGCACCATTTCAGTCTACTCATACCGCTCGGTCGTGCTTGTAACTTCTTTTGAAATCCTCTTTACATTGCCAGTGGCTGAATTCATGGTAGATCTTTCACCGGGGTTCCGCTTTTAACTCACAGAAGCTGCCCGCCGAAAATTCATTCTTCGTCTTCTTGACAACGAACCCGAGAACCAGCAAACTCCTCAGATATCCGTGTCACAATTTACAAACAACAAAAAAATGTTCGGTAGAAATACAAAGAGAGGTACCCGTATTCGCCAGTCAACCTTTCACTTCTACCAGCCAGTTTTTACGTCTTCTATTTAACCATATATGGAGTGGATAAATTATTCACGTGACCCTGCTATATGGCGCTCTCTTAGAGGCAATGAAGCGGTGAGTATTTAAAGGACTATTATTTCCCAACACAACAAAACTCGGTTGAAAATCGTTGCTTTGCTTTGCTCTCGTGATGCCGTGTTTCTAAACAATTGCTTGTTGCTCTGGCTTGGTGTTGACAGAAAATATTTTCATGGTGAAAGCGAAATATTTTGCCTCCCTTTAATAGCCAGCTTGTCGGTACCTGTGCTTTCAGCAATTTTTTTTGTGTCACAATCTAGTTCTTACAACGTCATCAAGTTACTTAACGCGGTTTTGATCTTTCTCGGAGCCTTATTTGTGATCCCAACTGTTTGTTTTCGTCCGCGGCTACTGAACAATTAGTTCCTCATTCTCTAATTGAATTTCAACTTTTTCGTCTGGATCACTGCCTTTCTAAAAACAAACATTTTCATGAGCAAAAACAATCCATGAACCCGGGCGTTCAAATAACTATCCTTTATGAATACATGTGTATTCGCGTGTCCGTGATGCTAGCCAGTTTAGACTCAAACTGAACTGTAGAATTTTCCTATAGGTGCTTAACGTTAAATAAAAACTCAAATCCTTAAAATGACGAACCTGTCTTTATGAATCTTTACAGTCAAAGTGTAAAAGGTCTTTTCCATGTACCACGTGATTGCTGTCGCGATTAACAGATGTCATTGTCCATTGCTTTCCCGGCCCGTGAACATAACAACAGCCAGTAAGGCACTTTATACTGTACTATCATAATTTTGCTATCTTGGAAATTGAAACTCTGTCTGTTAGAAAAGAAGAATTAATATGTCAAACAATCGCAACCCTTTCCTTCAACGCCGGCCATCTTGGCGTGATAGCACATGCGCAGTTTACCAAATTTCATTTATGGCGCGAAAATACGTGGTCACTTGGCAAGAAAATCGGTATTTTGTACCTTTTTCCGTGTTTTATACCCAGTTCGCAGTCGGTAGGCCGCATTTAGTCGGCAGTCCGCGTTTTATACCTGAGTCCGTGTTTCATACCAAGTCCGTAACGCTTATTATTATATCTCTCAGTTACTACGCGCTCTGTGCTTGGTCAATGTAGCGGGCCGTACTGTACGGGTCCGCAAATGATCCCAGGACCGCAAATGATCCCCAAATTGGACCGGAAATGATCCCCATTTTGGACCGCAAATGATCCCGATCAAAAAATAAGGAATGGCATGGATGGTGGGATGGTGTGGATAGAGAATTAGCGCACGTGAATACCGATGTTTTTATTTAAGCCATCTTACAATTATAATGGCTTACAACTTGATTTTTTTTTT